GAGAGAGAGAGAGAGAGAGAGAGAGAGAGAGAGAGAGAGAGAGAGAGGTAACAACAAGACAATATGCAGGTAGAATATTCTTTCCAGCTATCACCTCTGAACAACATAAAATGTAAAAACTTTCACTTCCTCCATTCATACACAACAAACACTAGGATGTGGTATTTAGGGATAATAACTTCTAGGAGAATCACAGAAACTCTCCTCCCTGCTAGTAGGGATAAGGTAACCATTATCTATCTGTTCCATTTACAGACAGTAGCCAACCTATCTGGATGTGGGGCTCCAGACTCAGAAGCCCTGATACACTGCCTGCGAGCAAAGAGTAAACAAGAGATCCTGGCTATTAACCAGGTTGGGAGAAATGTGTGTCTTGGAGGACCTGATGAACAGAATGTGGAATTGCCATTACTTACAATTCAAATATGCTAATTGATCTCCATGGTTTGGTGTCCTTTCAGTACAATGTGCAAAAAGAACAAAACAATCTAACTATCATGTAAAGTTCTTCCTAGAGTGTGCATAGAACCCTGGCATGAGATAGGATATAGGAAATTGTTGTGGATATTCATGGGAATTAAAAAGTTTATATGATTGATCTTCTGCACTAACCGTCAATGCTGTGTAGGTCTTCAAGATGATCCCTGGTGTTGTGGATGGGAAATTCTTTCCCAAGCATCCTCTGGAGCTGATGGCCTCTAAGGATTTTCATCCTGTACCCAGCATCATTGGTATCACCACAGATGAATGTGGCTTAGCTGTTCCCAAGGTGAGATGTAGTTCTAATCCCCTGAGAACACAATGGTGGGTACTCTGAACTCAGAGATACCGTGATGTAGTTCCATACCATCCAATACTAAAGACTATTCTCTGCCTCCAGTACATGGGCATTGACCATATCATAGAGAAAATAACCAGAGAGACTCTGCCAGCTGTTCTGAAGAGCATTGCATCACAGACGGTGAGAGAGACCTTGGTTCCTGTCCTGGTAGAGAAGGTTCCTGTATATTTTTCCCAGATGACATCCCCAAAAATAAAGTGTGAGTGTGTGTGTGTGTGTGTGTGTGTGTGTGTGTGTGTGTGTGTGTTTCTCTGGGGAATCAATGAAAATCTTCTTCTTTTCCCCTACACCCCGTTTTATTGCTGGCCACATTCATTAATTACAGGCTGCTGCCTCCTGTCCTCATTCTTCCTGATTGCTTCTGGTACAGATGCTACCTTCAGAATGTAGTGACCTGTTAATGGAAGAGTACATGGGGAACACTGAGGACCCAGAGATCCTTCAAGCACAGTTCAGAGACATGCTGGGGGACTTCATGTTTGTGATCCCTGCTCTCCAAGTGGCACATTTCCAGCGTGAGTACATCTGGGACAAGAGCAATGACAGGGAATGGTCAGATCTATGGGACCAAGGTGAACTCTCCAATGTCCAGTCCAGGCACATGTTTTTGTTATGGGTCTTATGATAGGCAGCTTTCTCTGACTAAATCTAAGTCTAGTGTAAAGGCTGGTATACTATCCAGGGCTATAAGAGGAAACATGTTACTTACCCTCAGTGTCTTATCACCTACTCAGCCTGCAATGTCAGGGTCTCTGTTTAACAAAGGTTTCCCATGTCCAGTAATCCAGTCTGGATCTCACCACTCAAATGTGATTCCAGATAAGTATAGAGCAAGGTTTCTTATCAATAAAGGTTGGGCAGATAAGTTCCATATGAGAAATCATGTCAACATGTGTCCTCCCTTCCAGGTTCCCACACTCCTGTGTACTTCTATGAGTTCCAGCATCTGCCCAGCTTCATCAAGGATGCCAGGCCATCCCATGTGAAGGCGGACCATGGTGATGACCTTCTGTTTGTCTTTGGCTCCTATTTTGGTGGCATGAATCGTGAGTCTTTCATGTTTTCCTAGAGCTAAATGGAGCATCAAATGAATTCCTGAGGGATTATTGAGCTCTCTGTCCAATTGGGAAATTGCGAGTCTGGGAGGAAACAGGAGAAGTGTTGCACGTATCAGAGCTTTACATAAATTCCCAGACTGCTCCCCCTAAAATATTCTAGAGTTAGAATATAAGCCCTTCCTAGTTTGGCTTGTACTAGAAGGAATGAGAACACAACACTGTAGAAATGAACCTGAGAATCATCAAGTAGTGCTTTTGATCAATCTTGTATTCAGAGTGGGAAGAAAGAGGGAATAAACCAGGTTTAGGGTTTGGACTTGGGATGTGATTTCTGTAGGAGACCATGAGTTGGCACCTGTATGAGGAGGATAACACTTGGTTCTCCTTCTGTCTGCAGTTCCAGTAACTAAGGAGGAAGAGCTGTTAAAAAGGAGGATGATGAAGTACTGGACCAACTTTGCCAGAAATGGGTGAGAATACTTCCCATTCTCAACCTTGTTACAGTAGGGTCTAATGTGTGCACCATTAGTATGCATGGGTCCTTAATTACATGATAGTCTTCACCTCAGGGCACACTCAGGCAGATACCTTCTAGCTGTCATTTACAGTTCATCCCAGTGACTGGGTGGGTGAGTCACACTATTGTGGTACTGTCCTTTATATTGTACCTCTGACAGGGAGACACAAAACTAGTCAGCAGGCCTTGCTACACATGCAGTAGACACTGGTGGTGACACTTGTATCTATATCAGTACACCAGACCATCTGTTCCCTGAGGCCCTTGGTCTGCTTATCCACTGCTTTCACCAAATATGAGCTTCAGGCTTTGAGGGAGAGACCTTCACTCTTCCTTGCTGGCTGCCATATCCACAGAAACCCCAACAGTGAGGGTCTACCCTACTGGCCTGTGTTTGACCAAGATGAGCAGTATCTGCAGCTGAACACCCAGCCTGCTGTGGGCCGAGCCCTGAAGGCCAGAAGGCTGCAGTTCTGGACCAAGACTCTGCCCCAGAAGATCCAGGAGCTAAAGAGTTCTCAGGACAAGCATGCAGAGCTGTAGTGTCCTATGTAAGGAAAGGTGTGTGATGTTGAAAGCAGATGGGGTAATTCTGAAGTTACAAAGTCCATTGATCTATAATCATTTGATTCAACAAGAACATAAGCATTTCTAAATTGGACATTTGCTCTTTCAGACATGTATGAAAACCACTCTGTGTTATTCCTTATCATTGTGGACAAACTTTCATGAGAGTCAATAAAAGCTCTCATAACAGTGTGGATGTGTGAGCCCCAAAGTACTGCTATCTTCTTTAACCCTTCACCAGACTAGGCTCCTCTTTCCTTCCTTCCTTCCTTCCTTCCTTCCTTCCTTCCTTCCTTCCTTCCTTCCTCCCTTCCTCCCTTCCATCCTTCCATCCTCCCTCCCTCCCTTTCTTCTTCCTTCCTTCCTCCTCTACCCTCACTCCCCCTCTCCCTTCCTTCCTTCCTTCCTTCCTTCCTTAGTTCCTTCCTTCTTTTTCTTCCTTCCTTCCAT